CCCATTGCTACTAAAAATACAAAAACTTAGCCTAGCATGGTGGCATGCACCTGTAGTCCCAGCTCCTCTGGAGGCCAAAGTGGGAGGATCACCTGAGCCTGAGAGGTAGAGGCTGCAGTGAGTGGAGATTGCACCACCGTGCTCCAGCCTGGGTGGCAGTGTGAGACCTCATCTCAAAACAAAAGTCTGAGCCACATAGATAATTTGAAATTTTCTACTGATCACACTAAAAAAGTAAAACAAAACAGGTGAAATTAAGTTTCAAAATATATTTTATTTAATCCTACATATAAACCTGATTGCAACATGAGATTCAGGACATTAAAGATCGTGATGAGGTATTCAAAACTATTTTGGGACCAAGTCTTTGAAAACTAGACCTCCTTGTGCGCTGACAGTACATCTCAGTTCAGATGAGCCACACTTGAGACGCTCAGATGCCACCTGTGCCCAGGCCATTGAGCTGGAGGCTTGCACTGTGTGCTTATTAGAATGGCTAAAATACAAAACACTGGCAGGAATTCTCATTCCTTGCTGGTGCTACAAACTGGCACAGTCAGCTTTAATGACAGTCTGAGTTTCAGGGGCCCCAAACTCCGCCTGGATGATACCCCTGGGTCACAGCCCACCTCACCACCGCAGCTCAAAGGATGCAAAGCAAGCTTCATCTTGGTCCTGTTTTCTTTATAGAGTCCTGTTATCTATGCAGCTTTCTCTGAATTTATGTTAAAAAAAAAACTTTTATAACCAGCTTATCCTATTTCTCCTGATCCATCTTCAAACTTTTCAGCCCAAATACCCGCTGCACACAGATTTCAAAGGTTCTCTTGGCGCAGACTTCTCAGAACCACTGATGCGCTAAAAGACATAACAGTCCAGCAGAGAGCCAGTTGTCAAGTGTGCAGGTGCAAAAATATGTCTGACTGCAGGCTAGGTTTATTTTCCACCCAAAAAAAAAGAACTCCGATTTGGGAAATTCTAGACTAGTAGTTTGAAAAACACTTCTTCTCTGGCTTGAACAACTTCATATAACGTGATCTGTACCGGCCTCCCAGCAAAGTCTACCGAGGGAGGTGGCAGAGTGGCTGGAGAGTCAAGATGGGGCCATGAAGCAGGGATGGGGACCCATCTAGGATCTGCCCCACCTCTTTCTATGTGACCTAGGGCTGGGATTGGGAGAGGTATCTCTGGGCCAGCAGAGCGCAGGGATGGGGACCCTTCTAGGATTTGCTGACCTCTTCTGGACCTAGGCTGGAATTGGGGGAGGCTTCCCTGGGACAGTGGAGCAGGGATGGGGACCCATCTAGAATTTGCTCACTTCTTCTGGTCTGACCTAGGGCTGGGATGGAGGAGGCAGGGGCAGCACTCGGGAGTTGTAACAACCGTGTCACCCAGTCTTCCCTGAACTTGCTCCCCACTTCTCCATCCATTCCTCACCTGCTGGCTGCCAGTGAACTTCCCCCCACCAGGGGGTATGTGCATGCCACTCTGTGACTCCTGGGCATGCAGAGGCCACCAGGAATGAAGCTGTGCCAGGGAGTGGTGGGAGGCACTGACAGAGCCTCCTTAGACACTGAGCAGGTTTTGCAAAAATTCTTAGGAGCCAAACCCAGGAGCTCCAAGGCCTGGGTGGGAGGTAGGTGTGGAGAAGTCTGCATTCTTAAGTCAAGCCCCTGGCCCTGCCACTGAGGGCCCGAACCAGGAGCCATGGGTATCTCTTCATCCTCTCTTCTTAGAGAAGTCAGACGTGCATCAGGGACCTACCTATCCCCAGCTTCCCGCTACTTCCCAGGGCCAGACCAAACTTACAAATACCAAAAGCAGAATGCAGGATTCTTTCAGCAGGGCTAGGAACACACACGTACCTACATGCACGCACATGCACACACAAACACCAGCCTGTGCACACAAGCATGCAAGTGTACATAGGCACACGAGGAGTACGTGGGGCCGCTGGGAGCTGGAAGAGGTGGGAACGATCCCCCCCTAGAGGCTCTGGAGGGGGCACAGCCCTGCCAAGGCCTTGATGTTGGACTTCCAGCCTCCAGGGTGGGAGAGGACACGTTGCTGTGGCTGTGAGCCTTCCAGCTGATTGTTCTAGCATCATTAGGAGACACAAATAGCCCAGGTTCCGGCCAGTGTTCCAAGCTCAGTAAGCGCCAGCAGTTCCTCACCCACCCAGTGCGTCGGGAGCCCCTGGAGACCTAGGGAGGATCGTTACTGTTAACCCGTCACATATTGTTACTAGCCTGTTATGCTGGAATTGCAATACATTACACTTTCTCATCATTGGGGCCTGCTTAGTGAATGCCGTCAGCATGGTGTCATGGTGTCTTTTTTGAGACAGAGTCTCACTCTCGCCCAGGCTGCAATGCAGTGGTGCCATCTCAGCTCACTGCAGCCTCTGCCTCCCAGGTTCAAGCGATTCTCCCACCTCAGCCCCCCAAGAAGCTGGGATACAGGAGCCAGCCACCACATCTGATTTTTATTACTATTATTATTTTTAGTAGAGGTGGGGTTCCACCATGTTGGCCAAGCTGGTCTCCAACTCTGCTTCAAGTGACCCACCCACCCCAGCCTCCGAAAGTACTGGGATGCAGGCATGAGCCACTGCAACCAGCCAGGATGGTGTCTAATCACAGCAAATCCCAACTCCACAGGGAATTCCAAAGCCCTAGGCACAGCCACCTCTCCATTTCCCTTCCTCGGTCCGGGCCTCCTCCACCACTTGCTGAGGCCTCTGCATATTCTCCAGGCTTCTTCAAGCCCCGATTTGGGGATGGCAACTTTACAAGCCCTTCCAGAGACACCTTCTTGAGTGACTTTCCCAGTAGCTCCAAAAGATGCCCTGTGAGTAGCCATCTCCTGAAGAGTAAACTGAGGCTGGCGCACCCTGGTGGGGTGGGGATCCAAATCATTGCATCGGCTGATATGGGCCCTGAATGAGCTTTTAAGGGCCCTCATTGTGGAGACAACGGAAGATCATTTTACCACCCCTTTAAAAATTGCACCCCAAAGCCTTGTATTTTACTCCTTCACTGTTTTTCTATCTTACCATGGGAGGATAAGCCACAGGTGGCTGAGATTTTTATTGGGAGGTTTGTCCCCCTATTAATGTTATCTCTTATTCCTAGAAGAGTGCCTGATAAACAATGAATGATGAGTATCCCCCTGTACCTCATACGTGATTCAAAGCAAGGAGAATGTGGCCAGAATGGTGGCCCATGACTGTAATCTCAGCATTTGGAGAGGCTGAGGTGAGAGGATGGTTTGGAGCCAGGAGTTTGAAATAAGCCTGGGCAACAAAGTGAGACCCCCCGACCACTATGAAACAAAATGTAAAAATTACCAGGTTTGGTGGCATGCAGCTGTAGTCCCTGCTACTTGGGAGGCTGTGGTGGGAGAATTGCTTGAGCCCAGGGAAGTCGCGGTTGCAGTGAGCTGTGATTGCACCACTGCACTCCAGCCTGAGTGACAGAGCAAGACTGCCTAAAAACAGAAAGAGAGAGAGAGAGAATGCAAATAGAATTCCTGTTTGCTGACATTGAATGGCTCGATTTTCTGGTTGTGGTGTTCTGAGAAGCTCACTGGAAGTAGAGCTCTTCTTATTTCTCTGGGGACCCTTGATTTTCTGACGTCTTAGGTCTGGAGCACCCAAGGAGTCTTCAAGCCCACCCCTTGCACCCAGGGTCCTCAACTGTGGGTCCTTAAACGCTCTGACTGAGGAGTTCACCCACCCCTGCCCACTCCAAGCCTGGAGCCACCACACACAGAAACCAAGACCCTCCACGTTCACAGATGCTGTTCACAGACAAGCACCCATCCTGATTCCAAAGAGCCTCCCGGATTTTTCCTCCCAGAGGAAAATTGTGTCAGTTCTTAGAAATCTGAGCCCTGTGTTCACATCGAGGTGACTTCAGCAGGGTCTGGCCTAGGAGTGGCTGAGTCCTCCCTCGGGCCACCCGCCATCCAAGCGTGGTGGTGACTTAATCCACCCCACATGGAGCCCCGCTAGACTCTGACCTTCGCCCATTAACCCCGAGACCTGGCTGCCCTGGCGGGAGAACTACCGTCTGTCCCGTGATAACCTCCCTGACATAATTCAGCTGGTCACACACAGGCTGCGGAGATGGCCTGATAACAGCGCTGCATTCTGGGGTCAAGTTAGAAGGGCACAGCAACAGCCCACACTGCCTA